GGGGCCACCAGCCCCGGCGCTGGGGAGCGTGGCACTGGCAGAGGTCAGGTTGCGGGTGGCATCCGTGTTGGGGGAGAGCTCCTCCGGGTCGCTTTGGCAGGGGTCATCTCCCAGCGAGTTCTGCTTGCTGAGCTTGGGGGCCAGCATCTTCACGAGCTCCGGCAGCATGAAGTACTCAGCTTCTCGCTGCAGACGGCTCCTCTCTGGGAAGTGGTCGGGCAGCACCAGCTGCTGGTCCCTCATGTAATCCAAGATGTAGCGGAAGAGGAATCCATCCCGATCCACGAAGAACCGTCCCTTGCTGTCACGGGCCAGGGAGCGGACGTTCTTCTGGGTGAACATCTCCCAGAGGAGCGAGCCAGGCACGCTGACCAGGGTGGGGTGGCGGGTGATGTAGACTTGCCCACCCACATTCAGTTCAATGATCTCGGGGAAGGGAAAGTCCTCGCTGGGTTTGGCACAGCCCGCGTTGTCTGCCAGGGCCATAGTGAGCTACCGCTGCCTTCCCACCTGCGACAGAAAGCAGCGACGTGTCAATGTTAAGCCCGTCAGCGAACGCAGCCCATTGTCCCACCGACCCCAAGCCAGATCGCACTTGCTTTGGGTCAGCAAGCAGTGCAGGATCAGGCCCCTGTCTCTCCGGGAGTCTGGAATTCATCTCTCTTCCCCAATCCCCGGCTTTTGGAATAAGCAGCATTATCTAACGCCGCTTTCCCTTCTGCGGCACAAGAAGGGAAGAAGCATCGCCCGTGGTCTGAACACGCCGTCTCCGCCTGCAGCCCTCTCGACAGCCAGCTCCCGGGGCTGGGGCTCAGCACCTTTGCTGAGGAAGGCACAGTGATGCTGTACTGACGGTAACGACAGGAAAGCCAGGACCGTCACACCCTGGGTCTGACAGGCGACCTGCCTGGCCCAGCATCCTGACGGTCAGGAGCAGCCGCCGAGCCTGCCAAGGGAGGACAGCATTTGCTGCCGAGCCGGTGAGCTGGAGGGGAGTTTACGGTCCCAGGCAAGGAGCACCCACAGCTCTGCCAGAAAAGCAACGCTAGATACCACTCTAAAGGGCAGTGACCGTGCCTTTTGGCACTCCAGCTCCGTCCTTGCTCCTGGAAAACACTCGACGGAGACTTGAGGCCAAGCTGGGAGCAGGTGAGAGGTGGCAGAACCTCCCCAAGGGTCTGGGACCAAGACAAATACTGGGCTACAAAGGCAAATACTGGTGCAGCCTCGGGCCAGATGCCATGTATTTATACATTTTCCAAAGGCAAACTGATTCTTAGGCATCTCTTGACACTGCAAATCAGCGCTTACATAAACCTGGCTCAGCAGACGGGCTCCAGACCCAGCCTGGCCAAGCCATGCTCGGTGCAGGGATTTGGGAGAGCATGGGGAGAAGGGGTTTCCCTGCGTCCCCCCTAACTGCCCGGCAGGGTTGGCCCCACGCTCTGCCCACTCCCCTGCGTGATGTTAGCGCAGCCGTGGGACTGCTCTGAAGTTGGCAGGAGCTGCCTGCACCTCCCCGGGGACTGGTCCCGCAGCCAAGAAACAAGACGAAGTGGGGCCCCGTCCCCGTGTCCTGCCGTCCGGCTTCACAGCGGCAGCACAGAAGGATCCCAACGCAAATTTCAGAGAAACCAAAGGGCAAAGATAAAACTCTGTGGGTGTTTTTGGGCGGTGGGGAGAGCTGAGCCTGCCTTTCATGGCCACCAGCCTCCCAGCTCGTAGGGATGTTCAGGGGGAATGGGTTTGGAACAAGGAGCGACTTGGGCAAACCTCTGCCAAGGAAGAGGCTGCAAAGATCGGGAAGAGGCTTCCAGCTTCCCAAATCCTCTCCCGCAGTGGCTTTTAGTCCCGTTCCCTGGTGATACACCCACTGCTCCCCTGCTACCGAAAACCAGGCAGGAGCCGGGCTGTGCCTGGAGCTCATCTGGCCACAGCCAGAGCCCTTTGTCACGGGTGGCGGGGGCTGAGGACTGCAGCCGGGCTGCCCACCGCCGG